ACTCTCTCGTGTTCTCTTTGAATTAGGACCAAACTTATTGCGTCGGAACTGACTCCCAGGCACTTCGATACGTTTAGGGCTCTGGATTGCTAGGCATGAGTGAGTTCATTGCGGGCTTCCTTGAGTTGAAGAAAGGCTTGTTTACACTCTACAATCTAGATGAGGTTTTTGGCGTTTCTTAGGACTTTGAAGAAAGCCACGTACTTATCTCCATAACTAAAAATGAAGAGAATGAGAACTGCAATTCACATTGTTAGTTTCTACCATTCTTTAATATTACAGGGAGAGAGCATATCAATAAGTGCTTGGACTTTCTCAGGATTAACCTTGATTCTCTTCTCTCAAGTGCTAACAATACTTAACAATACTTATGAATTTCCCAATTCCAACTCTAAATGTACACTTTAATGGATTCAACTTCATGTTATATTTTTTCAATATCTAAAAAATTTATTTTAAAAATTTAATGAGTTATTCAGTCAATTTGCTCTTAGAAATGTAAATTTCACTATTTTTCCCTTTTGTTTCAACAAAAAAAGAAAAGAAGAGATTTCCGCATTTTAAAACCCAAAAATTATATAATAACAATCACTTCTTCCTTAGTGGTGAAGTTGCCTTTAGACAAGTTGATTTGAGACTGGTGAAGTATTTTATCAACATGTAGAGTATGTCTTTGCCTACTATTTGGTTGTGCTATGATAGTTATTATGTGGTTGATTATCTTCTTTAGGGAGCATGATACGACATTTTCATTAGAGATAGTGGTAAGGATAGACATGTTCATTTATGATATTCAAGATCATATCACTTATCGGAGTAGATGGTTGGCCTTTCAAATGAGAGTTGCTCTAAAAATTTAGTCTATTTATTTTTTTCTTCATGTAAATTGATTGCGTCTTAGTGATAAAAATGAAAAACAAAAGGAACCACAAAGTCCTCTTCTTGTTGCAAAAGAGGATATATTGAGGATTCTCAATTTTCAAAATATTAAGCAACTTTAGCATGAGGTGCATAACACCAATAAATATGAGATGAAAGAACTGAAAGAAGATTTGTTCAAGGTTGAGCTCTCCATTCATACAAGAAAATCCCACTCTACGATGTTGAATTGGTCAGGGGGATACAGATAGAGGAATACATAGAAGTTTGTGCAAGCGCCAAATATATCCTCCAAGTGTTTGTTACACGATGGTAAAATATATCCCTATATACAGAATCTGAAGATTGAAAGGGGTCATATGAATTTTCTTTGATGGATCCTTTGAAGATTCATATCCCGAGGAAGTGTTGAATGACACGTGCATGAGACTTTCATGTGTTGGAGAATGTGCAATCACTATTAAACCATTGTTTATTTTGTACTATATTTTTTTCGTATTTGATATATATTTATCTTCTTTAGATGGTGAAGAATGTAAATATAGATATCGAGTTGGACCTTTTCTTAATGCATGGAATACAAAGTTTTGAAGATCAAATTTCTTCAAAGCGAATATAAGTAGATGTACAATGTCATTGCATAGGAGATATTAGCCTTAAAAGTCAACTAACATAGTGTAGGACTGAATTTTCCGTTATGGCAATTTCTCCTTACATGTAAAGCGAGAGCTTAATAAAAATCAAGATGAACTGAAAAATGCCTAATGTGATCTTATACTTTACACGAAGAGTTTACAAGTTTCTCAAACAAAAATTGTCGGCTCTTGAAGAGAAAACTAATATATTGCAGAATCAGTGTGTAGAAGAAAGATTCATCTTAGACTTCTAAAAAAAGATTCTTCTGATACACCATAGGATTAGGGCCCACATCGAGGGTTTATCTCTTAGCAAGACATCTAAAGACCCTCCTTTCTTTTTAGAAGATGAACGGGTTGGAATCAAGCAGAAGATAATATTCTCCAATGACGAGGAGAATAAGCATATTAAGATCGATTAGTGTACGATCTCTAAGAATGATCTTTTTTGTTTAATTTTTAAATAACTTATTTTTTTCTTCAATAATAGTATATTTGTTCATGTACTATTTTATGTGTCGTTTTATGTGTTTGTTGATAATATGTTGATATTGAAAATTTATTTATTATGTTTTTTTTTATTATTATTTGTTTTTTTTTATTATTATTTGAATTGAAGTCTTGGCTTTGATATGATGTTGGTGAGGTTGATAACATCAATTTTGTTTCTTATTTGTGTTGATTTCTTGTAATTTGCCCTTAGAGAAGAGAAATCTATTAAATGTCTTGTTAAGAATCAAATATATTTCAATTAAGTTATTCCCCGCCCATAGAGGCATAGTGACATCAAACTCTTATAGGGCTTTTATCTTTTGAGATCTTTTGAGTGTGAGAGTATTAACCTACTGAGATTTTTTTTGAGTGGAGATCATATCAAACACTTGCCCTCATAGAGTCTTTTTGGTGATAAGGATCGTGTCCACTAATTGCTCTCCATCGAGATTGTCACAAGGGCATGTGTTTCAGGGGTTTGAGTGAAGACATTATTTGTCACTTACCCTCAATTATTCTTTCTAGTCAGATTCATGTTCAATAATAAATTTTTATTGAGACTACTACTTGTGAGTGTTTTCCAAGAGTAAAAGTGGAGAGAGAGTCTACAAATTTCCCTTAAGTGGTCTTTTTAGTGAGGATCATGTCCAACACAAGCATTCCATCAAGGCTACCTCATATACATGTATTCCAGAGGTATGTGTAGAGACTAGTCTACCACTTACCTTCAATGAATCTATCTAGTGAGGACCATATCTACCACTAGCTTCCCATCTAGACTTTTTCATGGGCGTGTCTTTTAGGGATGTAAGTGGAGATTGAGTTTGTAACTTGCTCTCAAGGGATCTTTTTAGTGAGTATCATGTCCCTCTGTTGCTTCTCATCAAGGCTACCACATGGGCATGCATTCTAGGGGTATGCGTGGAGATTAGATCTACCACTTGTCCTTGATGGGTCTTTTTATTGAGAATCGTGTATACCACTAGCTTCTCATCGAGCTACCCCATGGGCGTATATTCTAGGGTATAAGTGGAGAATAAGTCCACCACTTGCTCTCAAAGTGTCTTTCTAGTGGTGATCATGCCCACCCCTAGTCTCCCATCAAGACTACCCCAGGAGCATGTCTTTCAGGGGTACGACTAGATACTAAGTATGACACGAACAACTTTAGACTTATCTGAAGTTATTTTCAGGGAGTTACTAGAACGCATTAACCCACATAAAAGAGGTTATAGGAAATTCACCGATAATATTTGGCATATCCGAGGACATATATATAAAGTGCCATGAGAAACCCATAAATGATATTTGACCTATTTGAGATCATTTATACATCATGTGCAAATACATACAAATCACATGTAAATAAATAATAATTATGGATCCTCTTTTCATTAAACATATTTATTAAATATTTTCATCCATATTTAAATGATTTCATGTGATGCTTCCAAATAAGAGAATAGGTTTTATTTTTAATGATTATAAATAAATTATAGAATATAAATTTTAAATATATGATTTAGGAAAATTTTTTTTTTGTAATGTTATATCCAGTAAAATGCGCTTTTTTTTTTATAACTCAAATTCAAACCAAGTTACTGTAGCCACCTGCCGTTTAAAAAAAATGCATTTACATATCTAACCTCAATTTTTATATTTTTGCATTTATGCAACCTTGCTTATGCATGAGAATGTGTATTTCACATTTTAAAAATTAGCGGTGATATTATTACGTGAAATGAAAGAATGGGGGGGTATAAATATAAAAAGTAATGTTCAAGTGTTGGAGATGTAAAAACATACGTATTGGGTGATTTGTATGCAAATGTCCTTTCATTTGGGGCTGTAAACGAGCCGAGTTTGGGCGAGCTCAGGCTTGACTGATGTTCGGCTCGTTCGAAATAGCTCGTATTCGAAATCGGCTCGTGAACAGTGTGTTCTTGTTCGGCTCGATTTAAATATTTGTGTTCGTGTTCGGCTCGAAATTGGCTCGTTAAACTAAAATTGAGAAAAATAAATGTAAAGGTCGAACCTGGATCAAATATATGTAAAAGAATGCACAAACCACATTGCCACATGAGGTGTTATGATTTAAATTTAGACATAAATATAAATAATATATCATTATATAAATAATATATGTGATATATTGTTATATAAAAAGTTATATAATTTTTTTTTTCGAGCCATTTCAAGCAGACACAAGCGAACAAATTGTTGTTCGTGTTCGGCTCATTTACATTTCGAGCTTAAAAATTTGTTCGTGTTCGGCTCGTTATTTGTTCGTGTTCAGCTCATTAGGCTTAACGAACGAGCCGAACACGAGCTGCTTAATGAGCCGAACACGAGCTGTTCACAAACAACGAGCCAAATTGACAGCCCTACTTTCATTCTCTATTTAATAACCATAGCAGGTGAGATCTGGTTTTTATTTACTGCTTTTCTGAATAGAATTCAAATTTTCTATCGCTTTATTGCCAAATCTAATTATTTAGGAGCCCGTTGAGATTAGTTTTATTTATTTTTACTAGAAATAAAAATCTTTGATATGCTATAATAAACTTAATTATTTTTTGAAATATTCAAAATAATTTTTAGATATTTTAAATATTTTTAGAAATAAATTCATTTATTTTTTAAAATAAAAAGAATAAAAATATGTAAAAAACACATTAAATAAACATATTTTTAAATAAAAAAAGGTTAATTACATAAAAAGCACTCAAAACATTGCTATTTACAAATCAGACACCTACCCGATAATGAGTCTGTTTTAAAATATTATTTTCTCTTCTAAAAAATGTGAGAAACAGTAAGTAGAGAAATGAAAGGAGCCCAACATTAAAGAAAAATAATATTGAAGTTACTATTACATCAAACTCATACGTAATTAATACTCTCACAACTTGAAAAGCTAAAATGTACATAAACTTCAATGACCACCAAATCAAAAAAAAAAAAAAAAAAAAAAAAAAAAAAAAAACTTCACCAAAAAAAGCAAAAACTATTGAGAACAGAGCAACAGCAGTGCCGCACTCCTAGTAAAGATTGCACTTCCAACCAAACAAACCTTCTGGAAACCACAGAGCGATCTCCTTCCTCGCACTCTCAATTGAATCGCTTCCGTGGATTACATTCCTGCAATAACAAACACAGAAAAATGGATTACATCATAAAAAATAATATAAAAAAAACTTAATAACATCAGAGAAAAACGAAAGCGAGTGTTAATTAATCACCTCCCAATTTCAATTGCATAATCGGCCCGAACAGTTCCGGGTTCCCATTTCGAAGGATCTGAAGCCCCAATAATCTTCCGACAATTCACAATAACGTTGTCTCCCTCCCAAACCATGGCTACCACCACCACAGGGCCAGAGGTGATGTCCCCCACAAGTGCGGGAAAGTATCGCTTTCCTGCCAAATCCTCGTAGTGCTTTTCGGCGATGGATCGCTCCGCGTTTAAAACCTTCAACCCTAAAATTCAAATAGATGATCACACATCGCAACAAAATATATAAACACAGAAGAGTTGATGCGGGGAGGTTCGATAGAAAAACCAAATACCTTTAAGGTGGAAACCGCTGCATTTGAAGCGCCCGATGATCTCGCTAATCTGAAGAGATATAGATTTGAGTTGTTCAAGTTGAAGATATGAGGAAAATTAGAAAAAGGAATGGTGGATTGATGGGTTACCAGGTTGCGATGGACGCCATCAGGCTTGATCATGATGAAAGTCTGCTCCATCTTAATTGTTTCAGTAGATCTGTCTCCAAATCAAATAAGAGAGCGAAAACTTGTCGAAAACTTGTAGCGGTACATGGAACAAGAGGGCAATGGGGTTTCTATTTATAGACTAGAATTTGTAAGGGACGCACGAATATCGTTGCATTTCTTAACGGGCGGCTCCTGCTATTTTTGGAAAGGAATTTTGAAACAAAATATCGAAGGATTCCAAAAATATTCCACTTTTTCAATGGCGGCTTAAAATATAGTAGCAATGATTTTGGTGGGTCCTACCATAGATTTGATTTCAGATAATAAGGGAAAATAGTCAAATTATTTAATTCATTTTTAGGTTGACTTTGAAATCTTATATACGGGAAGTATTAATTTTGCATGCATACCAACAATTTTTATGTATTTAAATATCTCACACCTTAAATTTATATGAATGCATGAAATTGTGCATATCACATTTAAGAAATAAATAATGATGATGTAACATTTTGGTTTTTCATTAATGAGAACTTAGGTATGGGATGTGTAAGTTCATAAGGATTGTGTGGTATGAATCTAAATGCTTCTAATATAATTGAGGGCTAAGTTTACACTCTTACAAAAAAAAAAAAAAAAAGGTTGAAGTCAACGACTACTAATAATTATTGTCAATTACCTTCAATCATCGTCGATCGCCCCTTTTTGCTTTTTTCACTTTTGGCTTTTTTAGTTAACTACTATCTTGTGATTATTATTGCCCACACAATTATTGTCTAATCATTATAGCTCAATCAAAGCTCTCTAAACTCCATGTTTTTAACTTAAAGAGAAGAGTGAAACACTCTAGTTGAAAATATATAGTGAAATTATTTGCTTATGCAAGACTTTCAAATTAAAATCTCTAATGTCTCATCCTTTAACTTTTATTATATATTTTTGTGTTAGATTTTCGTACAACGCTAAGACATTAATATTTCACTCTTTTATGAATTTTCTAGCACATAATAGTTTTCCTTTTTAAAATTAAAAAAAAAAAAAATAATATCAATTTTAATTAATCATATCTAAAATAACTAGAGAATTATTTATTTTATTTTTATTTTTACTTTTTCTATAGGATAAGATCAAATAATTATTATTTTTAGTATTTTAAGAAATCCCCATAAATTGAATAAAAAATAAAAAGTTTTAAACATTTTTAATTATTAGAGATAATTTTATAATATTTTTAGAGGCATTTACATACAAAGCATTCAAAACATCATGATTTACATTTTTACCGCATAAAGTTTTTTGTTTTTTTTACAACTCTCAGCACTTAATATTAACTCCAAACTCCATTAATATATATATCGTACTTACATGTCCGGGTTATGCAGAGGGTACATGAGGGTTAGATCCGCATTATACTCTCTATAATCTCCCCGTAACTTACCTGTAACCTACAAATATATGAAAATAAAACCGTAGAACTTAATAGAAGGTACATGTAGGCTACAGGGAGGTTACAAAGGATATAACGTGGGTAAAACCGCTTTGTACCCTCTGTATAACCCTAACGTACGCAAAGTTGCATACGTCTTACGTACACAAATTTTTTCCGTAATCTAGAGGGCTTTTACTTTTACCAATTTTTGATTTAAGAGGAGAAATTCACTGTATTTAATAAACAAATGTACATATTTTGCACATTTTCTACATATAACGTTCTCTTTTTATAAATATAAATTAATTTAATTTTTTTCTTAATCACAATAAAATCAAAATTAAATTTAATTTAATTTAAGCGTGACACATATATTAAGTGCCCAAATACAAAACAAAAAATCTATTGATCCCTTTTCTTTAATTATTATAGATTTTATAACGTTAAGAAAATACGAAAAGAAATATTAAAACATCTTAAACTCAACGTGTTAGCCCTAATATTAGAACATCTTAAACTCAACGTGTTAGCCCTAATCTATGTCTGTGTTGGTAATTAATCATAATCTGTCTTAGCCAAGAAATTCTCATTTTTTATGTTGTAGTGTTTGATAAGAAATTCTCATTTTTGATGTTGTATGACCCTGCAAAAATTAAAATTATATTTTGACAGATTTGAGGGATGATCATCACAATTCATACGGGATGTCTCTAAAAGTACGGACGAAGTCTTGTGCGAAACAATTAAAGCAAATGTTAATTTCTTCATAAATGAGTATCTAAATTCGGTATCTCTCAGAATTCAGTTGACGTAGTAGATCGAAAACTCTCTCATGTTCCCTTTGAATTAGGACCGAACTTATTGCCTCAGAACTACTCCCAGGCACTTCGATAGGTTTAGGTCTCTGGATTGCTAGGCATGAGTGAGTTCATTGTGGGCTTCCTTGAAATGAAGAAAAGCTTGTTTACACTCCACAATCTATGTCAGGTTTTTTGCGTTTCTTAGGACTTTGAAGAAAGCCACACACTTATCTCTAAAACTAAAAATGAAGAGAATGAGAACTGCATTTCACATTGTTAGTTTCTACAATTCTTTGATATTACAGGGAGAGAGCATATCTATAAGTGCTTGGACTTTCTCAGGATTAACCTTGATTCTCTCAAGTGCTAACAATACTTAAGAATTTCCCAATTCCAACTCTAAATGTACAATTTAATGGATTCAACTTCATGTTATATTTTTTTCAATATCTAAAAAATTTATTTAAAAAATTTAATGAGTTATTCAGTCAATTTGCTCTTTGAAATGTAAATTTCACTATTTTTCCCTTTCGATTCAAAAAAGAGAGAGAGATTACGGCATTTTAAACCCCAAAATGCATTATATTATAATAATACATGTCTTCCTTAGTGGAGAAGTCTGTCTTCTCAACTTTAGCCGGATACATTTTAATTTGGTAATACATTGAGAAGACATCCGATAAGCTCATGATCGAGTGATCGATTGTCAAGTCAATGAGAGCAACAATTTTTGGCAAGAGGTAGTTGTCCTTAAGACAAGTTGATTTGAGACTGGTGAAGTTGACACACATTCACCACTTACCATTTGACTTTGGCGCCCCATATCCAGCATCTAACAGATTTTGTACTTCCTCCTGAATTGGTTCCGCCTGCTTGAGAGCTACTGATCATATCTTCTATTTTACATCTTCTTATTAACAGGTCAGACCCTATGGTTGACATTTAGTTAGAGACGAACAACACAGACCAAAGCACCTTCTATTTCTGCAACATACCAAGCAAACACATCACGGTATTTGCACAGAGTGGAAATTTTTTTCTCCTTGTACCCTGCATCATAAGTTGTTCTTAATCAAGAAACTTTCCAGTATCTCCTATTGTTATAAGGATCTCTTCAATCACCTTGTTGATTTCCATGCCACTTCTTTGTTGAAGTTCTAATTCTAAGGCTTCTTGATGCATGCTGCTTACGACCCATAGATAAAAGATGTGTGATTTTTTCAGGATGCCTTGAATGGTGATAACTTCTCCTTCATATGAGATCTTTAGTACAATGTGATTGGTAGAGATGATAGCCTTGAAAATGTTTAGGAGTGGAAAACTGAATAAAAAATTTCTATGTTGTCAACAAATCAACTATGATGAATTAGCTAGTATAGTGAACAACTTACCACCAGTAGGGCTAGAGTTCCTAGCATCTCTTTCTTCTTGCCCGAGAAACAGTAAAGTTATTTGAATGTAGCATACAGTCGTGAAGTCCCTAGTTTTATTTTATCAAAAATAGACTTAAATAAATATTAACAAAATTCACAATATTAGAAAGGATACTACCAATTTTGTAGTTGGTAATCACAGTCATAATCATAATGGCATCGTTGTAGGTGTTTCCCTTAGTGGGTAGGTCGTTCTCAGTTAAGACAATAGGTTGTTGATGCACGATTCACTGTCAAGATAATGTTGTCATGCATTGTTCTTCTAAGTGAGGCTTTTTTAAGCTAGTCTAACCAGATGCTTCAATTTTGCCCCAAAAATGGCCAGAACAACACCAACAAAATGGATTGCTATGCATGAGTGAGTTCACTATGGGCTTCCTCTGCTGGAGCTTTCCCATATTTTTGGGTGATTGCTCTAGGTGCCAAAAATTACATCAGCTTATCTGCCTTGTTTAGTTCCTCGATTAAGTTTCAGATGTGACAACAGTCTCAAGTGTCATGCCCATGATCTCAGTGGTAAGCACAGTACCTCCTCAGATCACATATGAACCCTCTCACTTTCATATACGTAAGTTTTCAAAAAAAAATCCTTATTTTGAAAGGCCTCACAACTTTAATATATGAGACTCTCAATGGGGTCTGTGAGGGTATCTCATAAGTCAGTGGTGAAGGTCTTGCCTCCTAGTGGTGATCCATTTATCTTGGTACCTGACTCATCCTTCCAGGGGACAAACTATTCTCTCTTGTACACAAGCTCTCCTTTAGAACGAGTGAGGTTGATTCTCCTAGAATCTCTACCTTGTTGCTGGTTGCAAGGGTGAAGCATCTTCCATTTGACCTTATAGGTTTTTCCCTTCAAGGGATGCTCCTCTAATTGTTGAGTTCGTAAAAGGGTTGATGGTGAATTATATTCTTAAAACAATATATGATTGTTAGAAAGTTATAACAACTACGCTAATTAAGTGTTTTATGGCAAAGGCATGGCATAATGAGCGTTATTTTAGTCCCTAACGAGGACAACATGAATGACTATAGGTTTTAAATCACGCCCAATATTTATTTCAGAAAGTGAGTCACAAAAGTAAGCAAGGTTTCCCCATGCTCCTCACGAAATTGCAACAATGCTTACAAACTATTTTGAGATTTTTTGCACTGCCAAGTTGTGCAATGAATATCCTCTTGAATTCAGCAAAAGATGTGATTATTCCTAATGACAAGTTGCTAAGCCACTAAAGAGGGGCTCATCCAACGTCATAAAGAAGAGTCAGCATTTCAAATCATCACTTGCCCTTAACAAACACACAATAAACTCGTATGAGGTGATTTGTTCATAAGGGCCCTTCCATCCTCGATAGGACTCCATGGATGAGATCTTGAAATGTTCGGGCACTACAAATTTGGTTAGCTCAAGT